ATGTGAAAGGTGCACTGTGCCAAGTTTGATAACATTTCCTTCTTAGACACATAATCCACTCATTGTTCAGCATTTCAATATGTCTGGGCTGACACAAGCACTAATCTTTAGAATTTATCTGTGAATGCTAACTTGTCACAGTGCACCTTTCACATGGTGGACAGCAATGCTTTGTTATTCAGTCAACTGTGACAGTAGAAGTATGATTGGGGTGTCATTAAAAAGAGGACATTCTGTCCTTTACGACAGACATAAGTGCTTGATTATGAAATCAGTAGTTTTCATATAAATCGTCATTAAACTTCAATATCCTTTATTATGATACACCCTGTATATATTTGTATTCTTCAGTGATCTATACACCCGTCGGTAAGAATGAAAAGCAAGTACTATCTTCGTTATAGCGTTGAGGGTGAGTCAGCTGATTGGGGGTGCGACACGGAAACAGTCCAGGCTGTGGACTACCGAGGTTTAGGCCCTTGGAATTTACCAAGTAAGGTTCGATTCTATGTCTCGTACAGCCAAAGATAATAGAGACTTTTAGATTTGAACGTCGACATAGTGGACTGCTACGTGTGACGTCCTTTTAAGGCATGCAGTGCCTTAAAAGGACGTGTCTTAAAAGGACGTCACACGTAGCAGTCCACTATGTCGACGTGCAAATCTAAAAGTCCATATTGTCTCAAGGCATAAACCTACTCTGGTCAGGGACTCTGGTAACCGTTGATGTGGGGACTTCCCCGTAAAGACAGTTGTCTAGTAAGTCGGTTGTCTAGCATGTAGCGCGATTTGTCATGTGGTTGTGGTGTCGGTTGATGGGTGGACGAATACTGTGAAAGTGTGAGTAATTTCCATAGGCCTTCGGAGAAGGTCGTGTTTTATGGTCAGGGTTGGTTGATATTTTGTTGATAGGTTGTCGGAAGACCAGTCATGCCAGTTGGCATTGCGTACGTCGTAACAGAAATTCCAGGTCAAGACAAAGACTAGTACTATCGTACCCTAATTAAATAAGTTTTTAAGTATAGGCCATGGATTATTGTTTTGTCCCACCAGTTCATGTAACTGTTGGAAAGTCATAGGGTCAGTTAAGTGGTGTAGTGGTGGTTATTTTACCTGATTTCTAAGAAAGCATAAATGCTAGTTAGTAAAAGCAACCAGAGGACCGACGGCTTTAGGTCCTCTCCGAGGGATCTGGTAATGAGGATTAATGCCTGACCAAAGTGCATTAGCGCATCGACGTGGTTTCGAACCTGAGTCGCCGGATTACAAGACCACTGCTCTACCACTGCTCTACTAACTGATCTATCGCGCCTCCTCGAAATTGTACTCTTGATATCATCGCACACGGGCTACACTGATGCCTTCACAGGTACAACCCCACGATTCCGCCCTTCTGTTTATAATCGAATTCTTGAAACGCCACTGTCACGATGAAAGTATAGTGGTTATTCAAATTTTTGACAAGAACTTGTCTAACCGCCTACCATGCTTCTCCTTTTCGCTGAACCCTTAACGGTTAAGATCTTTCACTTGCGACACTTGATACGCGTGAATTTTCTGACCAAACACCCACTCACCGGCAGCGGTTTTAACAGCAGCGACTGGCCGATCGGTGGCGCCACTTAAAATCTCCATTTTTACACGTGGTTATGTAGCCTGATGTGGCGTACCACGAAAACTGTTTATCACGGGGTGGGCCGGATTGCTATACAGACCTGTGAGGGGTGGGGGTAGCATTATTGTTATACCTGGGTTGTTGAATCGAGTGCTTTGTTTGGAAACAAATAATATATTTTTAATAATTTAAACGGTAGTGCTAGGGGTGTTTCGGTTTTAGCATACACTGCGTTCTCTATTCGGTTATGCGATTGTGCGAATGTTGGCGGCTAAAGTGATATCAAGTTGGTTCTATGTCGTCATGACCCTCATTTACTCTTTGGTTTCAGTATATTTCGTTCGGTCATGTTGGTCTTGTCGTCTTTTACTGTATATTTATTCAAAATAATTTCGAGGGGTAAATATACAAGTTTTATAGGGATTTAATGGATATAAAACAAATTACCACGTTTAATTCCTTTAGGCAGTTAGAGTTCGCAGTCATAATTATAGAAAGTAGAATCCACAGTCTAGTACATCCTATGTTTAGTTGGTTTTTCCAAGTCCCGTATGCGTCATGTTAAAAGCACATGCCGTCGGTTGTCCGGTCATAGTTACTCTTCTGAAAGAAAACAAAATATGGAAACAAAAAATGCGAAGTCCGGTTACAGTATCGTAAGTCAAAGTAATAACAAATTGAAAATAAAGTACACTGGACTTTAAAAGACATAGTGTGTATGATGCAATTATTTGTTAGAAGTCAGTGATTGAAAGAGAAAAAAAAATGAAGCCAATACAGAATTCTGTACTTTTAACTGTTTTATGTTTGGCATGTCCCGACAAAACATGGACTTCCGCACGTCCATTATACCACCCAATTCAGTACATGGACGCGGCAGCTTTTGCACATTTCTATTTTGCGGGCGGGGGGGGGGGGGCATTTTATATGACTAGGGCGAATTTAGGCCGTGGAATTGGTTAGCTTATTATTTTTTCTGGCAGGTGCCAACAAAATGTGAGACGCAAATGTTGTAACACGCATATTTATTCAAGACGGGAAAGGACTGTGGTCAATTTGCAGAATGCAGTTTCGCGTTTTTTTTCATTCTTCTCAGTGAAAACGGAAAGAGAAGGGTGAATTCAGTGAGGTTTGGAATTCTAGCCGACTATATGACAAGGATTTCGATCATCCAGACAACCTTAAGGCGACTGAATGTTACACTATACTTGCTAAAATCCACGTCAGAGTTTGACATTCGACAGGTTGAGAGGAACATAACATTCATAATTTGATATATCAGTGGTGTAATATGTGCTGAAAAATATTATCTTCCATCGGGTTTGTAATCGATCCGAAGCCAATATCAAGGCCACTATTAAAAATTAAAAAAATAAAGATCTTGAGACCGAATTCGACTGCACGGCTTGTATCGGTTTAATTATAATTGAAGGAAGAAAATTATGATTCACAAATAAAAGGTAATACGAAAGGGAGTAGGGAAACATTTGCTTGTTCTACTAAAAAAACAAAAATATAGGCAATACATTTTATAAGGTCGCATAGAACAAAACAACGGACGAACATGTTATTTGTTATGAAAATACGTTCTTGAATGAAGACAATCATAAAATATGCTTTGAAAGTAACATCATAGACAACATATCTTTTGAAATTAACCTCTCCGTTTGTCTGCGAACATGTATTTTAGGCGATATGAAATAAAATAGAATATGATTTTAAGAAAAATAATTTCATCAAACATAAATGAATAAAACATAAAAATCTATATGGATATAGTATAGATAAATGTTCTCTGAAAGGTACATGCACAGTAATTGACCAAGGTAAAAAAAAAATCCCACGCTCCATCAGTAACTTTCTTCTTGTTTACCATAGGACAAATGGTGTCAATGACTAAGGGGTCCTATCATAAAGATTACCACGTTCAGCACATTTGCTGTTCGTTTACTTTATCCCCTCACATGAGAAACATGATTTCCAACCTTCACATTCTTACGACATTGTTTATAATTTCTGTTGACGACTTGTTTATTTCATAAAACTCATTACAAGGACTATATTTTCTCAGATTAGTGGATCAACAAAATATATTGACTTGTCGCAGTCGATGAAAAGTTGATCTTATAACAGCTTTTCCTTTATCCGCGAGTTTGAATACCTAATACCCCGGGGACAGATATACCTAGGAATTGTTGTGATTTGCGTAAATCCGATTTTGGTTGCCATAGTTTCCGCTCACTTTTTCTTCTACAGGGTAGATTCAATTACGGGGACGCGATAATTCCTCTCGCGGTTATTTAAATGTTCGTTATATAAATTTCCCCATATCTTGTATTGTTGAATAACAATAAGCAATCCCTATTGTTTTGAAATAGCCAAACTAGAATTTCCTCTCAAGATACGTTATATTTCAAAACCAGTAGCATCCTTAATTTTGTAAATTATTTTGACAATTGGGCAGAATCAAGCAGATCCTTCGATTTTGAAGTGAAACATAACGTTTGATTTCAATCAACTATCCTCAAAATAATCTCCCTTTTCCTGATAACTGTGGTACAGTGTCGAGCGTACCTTACAAAGTAAATGATAACGTTTCAAATTTCGATAGTTTTCTTGTAGAGCTCTTAACATTCTTAATATTAATTACTTCTGCCTCAAGTTTACCTGCATTCATTCGTATTTTCTGCCGCTTTTTAGATCTAATTTTATCCAGGGTTTGTCCACTCTTCAATTTCAAAAGTAAACGATGATTTGTACTTGAACCCTTACAGCATACACCTTACCATACGATAGCTAAGCACGAAAAATAGATACTAGTGTCGGCATGAACATTAATGCAAAGTTGGGGTAAAATAAGTCCGGAGGCAATTAATCAGCTACAAATGAAGTGTCGTTTTGCACTGCAGGGTTTAGGAAATTTGAGATTGCCGGGATATCCTACAATCAGAAACAAATGTCTAACAATTACAAACTGAATTCATATCATGTCGTTCTAAAACATAGCATTTTGGAAGTCACATGAGAGCCCGCTTAGAAATGCATGTAATTGGTAAATTAGAATAAACATGAAGAAATTGCCCATGATCATTTTATAAAGGAACGTAAGGCGAGGCGTCAAAATATCGATACCAGCAGGCTGCCGCCTCACGTATTGGCGCATCGAGGCTGCAATTACGGCCGAAGCCTGGCTGGGGCAATTATTTTTCACTTATTAGCCCAGCCGGCTTGCGCCAGGCTGGGATCTGAGGCTCGGTTTCCATTCGAAAGGCGGCAGCCGGCGCATGCTTTTGAAAGCCATTTCCTACCGCCAGCGGTAGCCGGCTGAGCTAATTTAAAAAATGCAGCCAGGACGCACAAGTGCAGTTACCTGCCGCTGGCTGGTATATTTATTTTTGACGCCTCGCCTAAAACATTTACATATTTGATAACAACAATCATTCCTTGGACTCGGATTGAGATATGTTTCCTCGGTGATTAAACAAATGGAAAAAAAAGGCTTAATTTTAGCAATATACTGAACTTTGGATATGGGCAAAGCAATTATTTCGTTGTGGATGTGGGTGGGTAGGTGGGTGTTTGTAACTATGGTAACTTGGTATTACACTTTCTGCAGAAAACATTCTTTTTGAGAAAAGCTGAACATCACACACAATACGTGGACTGCTACATACCATCGTATGTTTAGTTAGTATCAATAAGATTCTGGTATATCTCAGGGCTACTAGTTAATTAACATGCTGTAAAAAAATGTCATCAAACCCGCATCCATTTTCGTCGACAAAATAAAAGTTTTTCTCAGTGAAAAACAGGGTAAGGATGTTACAGGTAGGCCACTTGCCTTGTAGTTCTTATCTTCAACAATCCAGTTCCGCGCGAAACACATCTCCGCATATCGGCATACGTTCGTTCGGTCGACTTACTTCGGTCACTGTCGGTATCACTTCGGGTCACCAGAGAGAGAGAGAGGGAGCCGACGTGCGCGCATCTAGACATCCCATGGTTTTTCATGTTCGGCAAGCACCTTCGGCATCACATCGTGTCCTCGGCAGAATCGCTGGCCGATGTTATACCGACCGAAGGCATCCGATAAGACACGGTTCTGTGGTCTTTGCCGTTGACGATTCGCTGGCTGCACATGTAGTTGGTGGTGTTGGTAGCATTGGAGCTTGCGGGGACATTGGAGCCCTGCTGTTGGCTATACCCGTTAATCCGGATGGGTAGGAGGCAGAGGAACACACGCTTGAAGCCGTATCGAAACCTGTATGATGAAGAGAAAACAAGAATGCATTTCTTCCTAATTCTTTTGAAAATACAGGCTTTTAAAGCCCATCTGTATTAATTTGTCCAGGAGGGATTAGACCACCAAGGGTGGTCACTGACAGGTGGCTATCTCATCAACTCAGCTCTCAATTAACATAACAAAGAGAATCACGGGGGACCAACGGGCTCCGCTTATGCATTATTTTCTATATAGAGGGAGAAAGTAACTACATGTACATGTATCGCTGTGGGGCTTTAAACCAATCTTTCAAAAGTTGGAGGTATTTTCTTACGAAAAATTGCTTAGGGGATGATTGTGCTAACATGTAATTAATCGTTCTAGGTGGTAATTCCCCAGTTGGTATGTTACCAGGAAATTCGACTCACACACATAGAACAAATATTTTGAATTTCCCTACGTCCTAAAATACAACGACTATTCATTAAAAATATTACCACCTACAGCGCTGGAAGGGCTAACAAATACATTTGTTTACCGAACAAAATATGCCTTCAAAAATTACTCTTTATGCTTGTAAACTATCGTTGCAAAACAAAACCATAATCTAAGTAAAGGGTATTGTGATATTCGGATCATCCCTCGGAGAAAATAATGTTCCATAGTTCGAACAATACTCCCACGTGGAATTAATATATTACTTTTTCATCTAGCAGAATTATGAAAACAGGCTACATGACGGATAGAGAGACATAATTGATGTTAATATAATACACTGACAGACAAATACAAATTGTTAAACACTGCCTCTAAACAGCGAGGGGGTCAAACATTATGGTGCAATACAAAATCGTGATTGATTTATTTTTGTTACATCCAATGTAAAATTGAATTTGCGGATGCTGGCCTGATTCGGCTATGATTTGGGAAAGCACGGATACGACCGTCTTGTTTAGAATCGCCGACCGAGACTTCTTGACGCCCGCGAGTGATATACTAGACGAGTTGATGAATATAATGAAGTTAGCTTTTCTTTTTGTTTTCTTTGTTTGGAGGTGAAAAAAGTCACACATTTGCAGATGGACATCGGGTGATTTTTAGGAAAGTTGGAAAACACAAAGAAGTGTTAGATTTCTGCGATAAACGGTTGGACGCTGAAGATAATCGAGAAGGATGTGACTCTATGGAATTAAAAGAATATCAGGGAAGGGTAGCTGATCTTTGATGTGGGGGTGGAAATAGAGAGAAAAGAGAGAAGAAAGAAAGAAAAAGAGAGGAAGAGAGGGGAGAGAAACGTGCAGAGAGGGAGGGGAAGAGAAAAGGGAGGAAGATATATATATATATAGAGAGAGAGAGAGAGAGAGAGGGAGAGAGAGAGAGAGAGAGAGAGAGGAGATGGGCGAGAGACAGAATGGGGGAGCGAGGGTTAAGTTTGGGAGAGAGAGGGGCCCTGGAAGAATGGGGGTGGAATAGGAAATAGAGAGATGCGATGGCAATGATATATATCAAATATATTATGGAACAAATGACAATACACAGTAAGCAACAAATATTGATTTCATTAATTTGAAATCGTGTGAATACGTTTCATGTAAACGATCCATATATATATTCACACCTCAGAATGTTTTTGTTTCGTACGCTTAAAGGCATCGTTTAAAAATGCTTCCAGTTTTTCAAATCTGAGATGCATGGCCCTACGTGTTATCAGTGTCTGTGATATGATGTAATATTGAAGCTCTAACAAAAATTGCGCTTCAAAATGATTGTTTCGGTGAAAATGTCACTTTTCATTTGTTATTTGTCTAGTAAGAATTTAGACGATTTTGATTCTGGTTTTGTTGTAGAAACACTTCAATTTAGAAAGTGGGTAAATGAAACAGATGTTAGTTTGTATCAATTTTACATTGATAGATAATACAGTGAGAATATTTGGACTGAAGAGGTCATGATTTTATTTCCTTGATTGTAGTCTAAATATATAAGAACAGGTTATTAAACAGGCATTACTCAAGATGAGATTAGAATGGATATTTAATCTTTATTGCAAATATTCATTTGACATTTAAAGTGAATGATGAGAAGTACATTTACATGAGGGCTAGGTTTGTGCACAATTGGCATATACAAAAAGAGGATTTTGATGCAAAGTTGCAAACTAAGGATAGACTATACCTGTTTCACAAAGTCATTATTTAATGGTTTGATAGAACGATGTATTGGTGATTAGCAATCGCAAGACAACGATGCTAAGGATTTCTTCATCTTTTATTTTTCATACAGATTGAATAAACACTCGATTTATCGAGGACTATCCGATTCAACAGGACAAACTCGATTGAGCATTCCTTCTTTCCGTGATCCAATGATCATGAGGTGCCTCAAAAAGTAAAAGTCTTTGAGTGACCGCTTTTACCATACTCATATACCCCAGTAGACTGTAGTGTTATAAAAACCGTCGGGAAAACGGTTTTTGAAATTTTGAATTCAAACCATAAATATTTTGATAATCAGACAGGCGGTCGATTTGTAACAGTCATGGTATTCCTGCTGACCTAAAGGTTTATAATTATGATTGCAGCATGAGCTAAATCCATGATTTTGTTTAGAATCTGAGACAAAGATACCCAATCCCTTCAATGGAAATGATCAGAGCATACACGAACCGCACATCACATTCAAATAGTATTCTGTGATAATGCCCCATTATCTTTATTCGTTGTTTTATCTAGCTTCGTGTTTACGTAGAGGCGTAATAGGTATTCTCAATCTTTCTACCACTCGATTACCATGACAACGAAAGTTTATCTCTCATCCCGCTTCTTAAACATCCTTCCCCCTGTCAAATCCATCACCTTGTTTTATTTTCTGCATGTCCCCAGTTTTTGGTTTCAATATCCACGTTTCCTCGTTCTTCAAACGGATTTCATGCATGTATCTGCGCTGGTCTACATTTTGCAATCAACCCCTCTCCCTCCTCCATCTCTCTCCTTACTAGTTCCTCAAACGACAATTTCCGTTTCACGATCTCGATTACATCTTAACGGTTTAACAACACGCCACCGTTTCATAAACGTGGCCTGAGAATGCATTTCCGGTATGTTTGTTTCTCCAATTTCGACTTTCTTCTTTAACCAGATGCCTTATTTTCATAACAAATAAAAAGGAAAACGTGTCCGTCTTTCGTATTTCTTTGCTAGATACATCTTCCTATTAAATGCCCTGGGGGTATCAGGGAATTATGGAAATCATTTGTCACGTGCACGGGTAATGGGAAACCAGCAACTCTTCAACCAGATTTGTCGTCTACTATTTTTAATGTTTTATCGTACGACATGAGTAATTTGCACTGTCATGCTTTTAAGCACCCCCCTTTTTTTGGGGGGGGGGGGCCAACATAAATAAGGGGGAGGGTGTACTGAGATGGATCATCATTCTCATATGTTACTGGACGTAAAAGCCCTTAAAAACAAATACAAACTATTTGAAAACCATTTTGTTAATTCAGCCATTATAGGAAAGCGTGTACAAGATAGGTGGAGAGTCTATACAAAGCACTCTTACACATGAACTAATCCACAGCTGAACTCCGTTTCGTTTTTTATAGATAAAATATAATGCGATATTCAAAATCTAACCATATTATCCATATAACCAGTAACGATAAACACAGTGGCTAACCTCAGTTAACAAAACAGTACGTGTAAAAAAGTGTACCCAACTTTGGTAACCAATATAACTTTGAAATCTATTTTATGATGAAGAGTACTTTTTTTTGTCCAATGATACCCTATTCATAATATTTCTGCCACGGGTGACTGAGCACAAGGGATTTTAAAAGTGTTGTCAAAATCGCCACGTACCAAGTTTGGGCCTTTAAAGTTGGTGTACTTCGATAACCCATTTATGTGCCCAATGCATGCCAGTCACTTTCTTTTCTTAAAGCCCATCTGTACTAGTTTGACTAGGAGGGATTAGACCACCCAGAAAGGTCACTGACAGGTGGCTATCTCATCAACTCAGCTCTTAATTAACATAAGCAAAAGAGGATCGATTAGGCATTGTCTTCTATAGAGGGAGCAAGTAACTACAAGTAGTACAGTGGGCCTTTAATTATCATTCTACAAGTTCCATTAAGTTTACACACATTCTTAAATGACCACAAGATTAACGTTTCCCTATTGCTTTACAACATTTTCTTTCAAAATATAACTACTTGACTGGAAGTCAATGTTTTCTTTAATGTTGAAATACTTTTACAGAGAATTTCAATCATGTAGAAAAGTAATTCAATTGTATGGTATTAACAAAATGTATCGAATGATGTTTTTTTACGAAGAACATGGACTGTATATAAATCAAAATGCTTATTTCAATTCCATTGAATCCTTTAATAAGATGGGGGAAACATAATGCATTAAACAAACAGCCTTTTGATTTTTTTTTTTTTTTTTTTTATTTTTTTTTATTATTATTATTATTTTTTTTTTTCGGGGGGGGGGGGATAAAGTACGCATATTAATTGTTTGCATTTTAATTGTTTTGAAGTATAACTACATTTTTAAGTCATGCGGTTGCGGACTTGTTCCTTTAATTTATGAAAACTGTCGAACGTAACATAAATAAGAAGTTGTCTGGGTAAATAAATATCGTTTATATTTCTATTATTCCACCTTCTTTCTACCTTTCAGTCGCGTCACATGTGGGGGATCGGTTTCCAACTGCCCTTAACACGAGTGGAGTTTTTCGAGTTTCAGGTTGCATGTGCTTTTCATGGCTAGCCTGAGGGGGCGGGCTTTATTTCCACAGTGCTTCCTTTCAATCTTTGTTGCATGTTCTTTTCCTCACGCAACTCTCTGTCCCCGATCCATCTTTAAGTTTCCATCTCTTCTGCTCTACATTGCCGAGAGGAAAGAAGTGTCATAATTATGTAGATATCAAAATTTAGTTTGAAATAATTTCAAAAAAGGAACAATCTGAAACACCAAACATTTTACGTTAAGTAATTTTTTCTTCCGAGTGCTGTCTATCTTCTTTAT